AAAGAAAAAAAGTGTTGTTTTCTCAAACTATATAAGAAAGAACACAGAAAATTAAGATTCATTTTCCTCAAATATGGGATATTCTTGTGGCAAAGGCGACCTCGCACCTCTGGCTGACGGAGATGGCTCGCTCCCCTGAGGTAAGTCAGAGATGGAAGCCAGGATCCGGCGAATGCTAACGGAACGAGCAGGCTTGAAGCTGAGAGAAAGAAACAGTCGGAGTGAAAGTAAAGTACCCGTTTGATTGAATACCCGAACATCGTCCGACACTCCGCTTTCTCAATCACTGGACAAAGACCCATTTTTGTCACCAAATCCACTGCTTTCCCAAGAAACCCGGAAAGGGGCGGCTGGTGGCCGAGTGGAAGGAAGTGGGTTGCCATCGGTTTGGGAAGAATTAGAAACAAAAGAAGAGAAAAGAGAGGAAAACCGGGAACTGGAAGACAACGACTTGAGGAAGTTTTTTATCCAAGGAGAGGAATTGGAAGATGGGTTTAGCACCAAGAAAGCCGTACAAGCAACAAAAGCAAATGTGACGCCATAAGCAAACACCATCGTTCTCCCTGTGGTGTACAGTGAAGAGATTGCCTTGGCTTCTGCTTTCGTCGGTGAATGATGCTTCGTTGCTGCTGACGGAGATCTTGAATCCGTCATTGCCAAGTCTGAGAAAGAGCTTGGAAGAGTGCAGAGCGAAGGTGGTGCAATGATCGAAGCAGAATATGGGCCAGTTTTCTGTGGAAAGATCCATTTGGGTTTTTGGTTAATTACGAAATTGCCACTGTGCTGGCTAAGCATTTTTTTTTCTTTTTCTTTTTCTTTTTATCAGCCTGGTTAAGCTGTTAATCCCATGATTTCCAGCTGAAATCTTCTTTGACATCTAAAAAAAAGCTCCGCCAACTGTAAACTTTTTTTAATATTGTCTTTGTTTAGTTTATTTAGGAAAAAAGCAAAATAAATGTAATAATTTTTTTGATCAGCAAAGTGAAATATTATATAAAGGATAAGTGGAGTATAAGAGATACTCCTGCCCATTTTACAAAAAAGAGTAGCAATGTTCCCTGCCCAAATAAAAAGACACTGCAGGAGCACAAAAAAAAATGAAGGCCCCGAAAGAACAAGACTAATCAGTAAAGAACACACTTCAACTAGACTGAAGTAATTTCTGTTGCTGATTAAACATCTTCAGGGATTTCTTGTATCGCTTCAACTCCCTTGCACACTCCAACGGGTTGCTTTGCCACTAGACCAACGAAAAGGCACATCCAGGCACCTTATTTCTTACCCAAAAGTGAGTTTTAACTTGAATTAACTCCAACAATTGCTCCCTAATATCCTCCTCCCTCCGAAATACCAATACATTTCTCCTATACCACAAATACCAAGCAGTAACAAGAAAAATGTAAACTCCCATCTCCTTGCCTACCAAACTGCCTAGCCCATAGATGAAAGTCTCTGCCACACCCTTCACTGTATCCGGCATCACCAGCTCCATACCCCACCACTTAATCGTCTTAGCCCAAACTACCCATGCTTCCATACACGTGCAAAATAAGTGATCCACCTCCTCCACCCCCTTCTTGCATAATCCACACGTCGTATTATCCTCCTGAAAGGTCACTCCTCGTTTCTGTAGATTCCTTCTAGTTGGGAGTCTATCTAAGCATAATCTCCACCCAAAAATACTCACTTTAAAAGGCACCAACCTGCACCATATCAATTTACACAACTGGCTGTCCAACAAGCATTCCACAGGAGCTAAAAAATCATAAGCTTTCTTTACTATATACCTGCCCTCCACATCATACCTCCACTTCCAATAGTCACCTACATATTTCCTAAGCTGAATAGTTCCCAAAACCTTCCACAACTCCTTTTCCTCATCTTGCTCCCGGCCCATCCTTTTTCTTCGCCACCCAATTTCCCATTTCCAACTATCCCCTTCCCAAAACCCGTACTCCTGAACCATACCCTCCTTGTTTGTGGCTAATTGAAAAAGTCGTGGGAATGAATCTCTTAAGGCATTGTTCCCCGCCCAGATTTGTCTCCAAAAACCCACCCTGCTTCCATCTCCTACCTCCCATTTAAACCCCTTCACCAGCATTGTTTTTAATCTATTGGATTTCCCACCTATTCTAAGAATGTCCCCCCAAATCTTTGACACTCGCAGCTTCTCCACATCTGTAATATTTACCTCCTGCCCCCCTCCATAATATTTCTCTAACACTACCCGTTTCCATAACCCCTCCTTTCCATCCCCTAGCCTATACCACCATTTTCCTAACAAGGCCCAATTTCTACGATTTAAATCAGGAACTCCTAGTCCTCCATTCACCTTGCTACCACAGATATCCTCCCATTTCACCCACGATATCTTCCTCTTCTCTTCATTCCCCCCAACCCCACCACCCCACAAAAATACCCTTTGAATTTTAACTAATTGAGCATTCACAGAACTAGGCATAAAAAATAAAGACATAAAAAAAGTAGGGAGGGCAGAAAGTACCGACTGAAGTAGCGTGAGGCGACCGCCAAAGGACAGCAGGGCAGATTTCCAGACGGCAAGTTTACCACAAAACTTTCTAATTATTGGATCCCAAAACTTCTTGTTCCTTGGATTTTCAC